CCCCCCCCCCGGGGAATGGGGTCAGAATGGATAACATTTTAACCTGCAAAGGATTTTAAAACACACATCAGACTGGCCGGTGTGGCTCAGTGGTTGAGTGTCGACCCATGGACCAGGCCAGGACACATGCCAGGGTTGCGGACTCGATCCTCAGTAGGGGGCGTGCAAGAGGCAGCTGATCCATGATTCTCATCATTGATGTTTCTATCTCTCCCTCTCCCTCTCCCTCTCTGAAGTCAATTTTTTAAAAAATATTAAAATACTCTTCAAAGCCAGTCTTTTCTCTACCTCATCCACAAAACCTTTACATAGTAGCTCAGGGGCACTGAACATCCACAAAGATGTGATTCTTCCATCCCCCAGGGTGGGGAGCCCTTGCAGCCTTTGGGGGCCTCACATCTGTAGCCTCCTTTTATCCCCACATCAACTCGATAAGGCTGCGTCGTCTCCGCTTTCCAGATGGGGAAACTGAGGTTTTAAAAGTTCAACTACCTTGACCTGAGTAATAAGTGGGAAGCAAGGATTCAGGTCCAGAAATTGCCTGGTTTCTTTCTAAACCTATTCTGTCTTCCTCCTGCCCCGAGGAGCATGTGGAGGGCACAGGACTTATAATCTTGGCCCAGGTCCCTGGGGGTGGGGGCTGAGCTGCAAAGCCCAGGCCTTGGCTCTGGCCCCAAGACCAACAGACAGCCTGGGGTGTCAGGGTGGGGGTGGGGACCCTGATCAGGAGTTCTCTGACACTGGCACTGTTTGTTCCAGGCTCTGTGTGACCCTGCGGGGAAGTGCAGCCCACGCAGCCCTGTGTTCCCTCTGCGCCCTGTGATACACAATCACCCAGATTTGCTATCGCCTCTCTCTCAACCCGCCCCCCCAACAGGCTGCAGACCCAAGTTCACTTGCCAGCTCTCGGCCTGCTCACATGCCCTTCCACAGAAAACCAGAAAGCACACTCTGGTTCTCGCAAACACCCAGGAACAGCGTGCGTGTCGTTTCTCCCTTTACGGTAACAGCTGTGGCCTGCTCCTGGCATTTAGTGCATCCCTTGCACAGTCCTGAGGTGACAAATTCAACAGAGGAAGGGAATGGCAAATGCCGAGTGAGAAGAGGAATCTCACACTTAGCAAGATGTGAGGGCTTGCAGGTTTGTGTCTTTTTTAAACAACAGAATAGTTTGATATAATGTTAACAACAATAATATAAAAAAGGGAAGTGCTCCCCTGAGTAGGTACCGGTCTCAGTCGGCTTGGGCGGCCACAGGCCCGTGGCTTAAACAACAGAAATGTCGTTCTTGAAGTTCTGGAGGCTGGAAGGTCAAGATCAAGCCCTGGCAGGGTTTGGTTTCTGGCAAGACCCTCTTCCTGGCTTGCAGATGCCTCCTTCTCATGTGTGTATGGGGGGGAAGGGGAGGGAGAGAACACTCTGGTCTCTTTCTCTTCTAAGGGCACCAGCCCTATCCAGTTAGGGCCCCATCATTGTGACCTCAGTTAACCTTTATCAGGTCCTCACGGGCCCCATCTCCAAAAACACCATCACATTAGGGGTTAGGGCCTCAACATGCGGATTTGGGTGTGGGGGACCCCAACATTCAGTCCATAATGGTGCCCCTGTTGCTAACATCACGGACTGTTTCCAGCTCAGCCTTCCGTCCTGAACCTTCCAGACTTGTGAATGGGTAAAGCAGTTTTGGGGTGTGGAGGTGATGGGGTGGGGTGCAGCGCTAATCTCCGTGGTTTTCAACGTGGCAACATGTATTTGGGTTATTTTTAAAATAGCTTCTGCAAATCATGGGCCTACAGTCTCAGCCTGAGACAGTTTCGCTGTCGCCAGCAGCCCTGTTTTATTTCAGTGGGAAAAAATGCCCAGTTTTAGTCATGCTTTCAGAGGACACGTGCTGGAGAGAAATCAAGAGAGGGGACCCCGTAGAGGAGGTGCCCCCTTCTGGACGGTCGTGTGCATTACAAGGTTCCAGAAAGAAGAAAGCTGGGTCCCATGTTCATTTACCTTTTAGGCCTGGAAACCCCACTGCTCGGCGAGCTTCCTCTCCTGTCCCCCAGGAATGCCCAGGGGAAGAGAGAGTTTCCTTCCTTTTGTGACTTGTCCCAGCCTTCCTACATCTTTGGCCTGACAACCTGTTGATATGATGAATTGCACTGATTACTTTTCAAATTTGGAACCGGTCTTACATCCCCAAGGATCACCCGTCGTGTGGTTTGGATACAGAGGGGTGGCCAGGAAACTCTTTGGTCTGAAGGAAATCGTCCGTGTCGTCACTGTGGTCACTGGTCTACAGGGGCATGTGTTTGACAAGCTGTATCCAAAGGGTGAGTTTTATCGTATGTGAATCATTCCTCAAAAAACCTAACTGAAAAATTAATGGACCTCAAATATAAATCTTCAAAGCCTGGAACGTGAAGAGAAAAGTCACCCACAGCCATTGTTAGTGTCTGGGAGTAATTCTTTCTACATTTCTTTCCTGTGTGTCATCACCATTCATCCTTTGGTCTGTATCAGCTCTAGAAGGTGTTATACGTGTGTCGTCTTATTAATCCTTAAACGCTGTTGTTATTTGCAGAAACCAAGGGTCATGGTCACCTCTAAGTGTCAACCTGGTGTTTCTGCGAAGGTATTTTATAGATGTGATTAAAGTCCACTTCCATGGGCAGGCCAGACTGATTCCCGGCTCTCTGCCCTGGGAAATCTTCCGAAGGCTGGGCCCTCCAGGCCAAGGAAGCAGTTGAGGCCAGCGATCTGCAGTCACTTTTTCCTTACACCATGGACCTTGTCACACACAGCATCTCCCACCCCTGCCATGTTCCCAGACTTGCCCCCCAGGACTTTCCTGGAGCCCCAGGACTCCGGGCTGCCATGTGGCCACACTAAACAATGCCTCCTGGGTCTCACAATAAAGAACAAAGCCTAGGCCCTGGCCAGGAAGCTCAGCTGGTTAGAGCGTCGTCCCAATATACGCCAAGGTTGTGGGTTCGATCCCTAGTCAGGGCACCTACAAGACTCAACCAGTGAAGCGTCAATGAGTGGAACAACAAATCGAGGTTTCTCCCTTCTGTCTCTCTCTCTCAACTCAATTTTTTTTTAAAGGCCTGTAAGTGAAATGCTTTCGCTGAAATTGCAAGTCATTTTGGGAATCCTTGTCAGGCCACCAAAGCGTCACCACCCCTTTCTGAGACTTGGCTGTTCATCTTCTTCCAAATGTTTGCTCTCTTGCTGTCTAGCTTCTTTCGGGTCCAAATGAAACTCTTGGAGCTCCTGGGCCTGTTGGTTTGTGCTCATTTGCATGGCTAAGTAGCCAACCCTCCAGATAGGCAGGAAGCCAGTGGAAACAAAGTCTGCCTCTCTACTAGGTACAGAGAGGATTCTGCATAAAGTATTTTCCATTTTAGGTAGAAGGTGGGAGGTGGGGAGAGGGGGCCTATGTGCAGGTGCACCTCATATCAGTTGGCAACTTGCTGCTTCTAATTGCACCTTTCCATCTGCCTGGAACAGAGCCGGGGGTGGCGTGAGGAAAATATGTGATAGGAGGTGGCGCTGTTTGGGGGAGAGTTTCGTGTCTGAGAAACCAGGTTTCCTCTGTGAAGCGACCTGAGCCATAGGCCTTGCTCTGTGGAGAACTTTGCAGGCTGGACAGCAGGACCCTGGCTGAGAGCTGAGAATCGGAGAATTCCCAGGGACTTAGGAACGCCAACCTCGGGTTCGGTTTTCATGAGGCCTCGGAAAGGAGAGACCTAAAGGTAGGTACTGAGACTTCAGGCTCCATTTCCCTTAACTGGCCCCTCACGAACCAGCTAAGTCCCAGCAAGGTGCCTCACCAAGTGCCCCCGAAGGCTCTGCCTCACCTGGGGCTTCTGCACTTAACAATCCAGTTGATGGAAAAAGAAAGGGTGAATGTATATTAACCTTTTCTGGAACTGTTCATACTCTAAGAG